CCGGGGGGGGGGGGGGAGTTGAAGTTATAATGGTTGGCTGTGGTATCACAGAAGCCTGTAACCTCAGCTGTTGGAGCCTGAAGCAGTAGGATACCCACTTTGAGGCCAGCCTGGGGTACATAATGAGACCCTGTCTTAAAATAAAATATGTGATAATGTATACCTTGCAATGTTATGGGAATAATAGAAATGTGTTTTGAGTATTAGGAAATAGCTACAATAAGTACTGTTTGTTCTCATAGTATTAGTAACCACATTCGTTTGTTTATTGAATTACTGCCTTGTGATTTATTGTGGTCATTCAGAATGTAGATCTCCCTCTCCAAGCAAATACTTTTTAGGTTGAAACATCTATATTTCTGAGCTGAGACATGGAAAATATTTTCCAGTTCACTCAGAAAGTTTGCTCAAATAGAAAATTACTTCTTTAAGAAATCCAAGTTGTGAATTTACCTCATAGAAGATCATCTAGACTCTGAATGCATAGAAGATGAGCATAAGTTATATACTGTGTTGTGCCATGCTAATCCAGTATAGTAGTCTTATGGTGGTATTATAGATCTAAAAGATGTATGTTCTCCATATAAGTCTGTTTTTCAAAGAGCCAGCCAGGCATGGTGGTACACACCTTTAATCCCCAGTACTTGGGAAGCAGAGGCAGGTGGATCTCTATGAGTTCCAAGACAACTACACAGAGAAACCCTGTCCTGAAAAACCAAAAGAGAAGAATTAATGAAGAATACACTAGAAAATGTAAAATTCTAAAGCAGGTGACAAGCTTTTAGTATCTGAATAGCATTATAAAAACTATAAAACTGATCAGAGTTGTCGTTTTACACTAACACAGGAGATACTTCATATGGACACTGAGCCGTTACAGACTTCTGTGTCAAAAGGATTCAAATTTGTTAAGCAAAAGCTAGAAAAGGAAAATAAGAAGAAAACAGTGTTAGAAATCCTCAATATAGTCTAAGGAGGCACAAGTAAAATATATGTACACACTGAAGAAAGTAATAAAATGCTTCACAATATTCACTTACTTAGGTTAATAACTCATTAGACTTAACCTCAAATTCCCACAAGCCTTGAAAGAGCCCTGTTACCTGTTTTTGATGACAGTTGAGTAGAGCTGCAGTTTAATTCAAGTTTTAGTCGTTATGGAAATTTAAAGCCATTTTCTTAAATCATTTTGAGCCATTTGAAGAAAGATACATTTAAATTATTCACCAGTAGAAAATAAAACAAAAATATAACTAAGTGAGCTGAGGAAATGGTGACCTAGTTGGACCAACAAATTGAGCATTGACTACAAGAAACAGAGCTGGTGTTCTTTGAATGGTGTTTAGGGTTAAATTTGGGGTTTTGTAACTGATGCAAAGATGAATAATATAGTGTTTGTGTTTAGCCAGGCAGTTAAGTCCTAGCTGGTGTACGACACTACGGCCTCGCTGCCTAGGCCTTTGCATGGTGCAGGTTTCCCTCTGCATTACCACTACCTGTGAGCTCTGAGCTCTGTGAGCTCTGTGAGCTCTGTCCACACAACTGCTGTTGGTCTGAGTGCTGTTTACTTACATATCAACCCAGCTCTTTTCAAAAGGATGGCACAGACATGCTTGTGATAAGTGGTGTCCTTCTCATCACTTGAGAAAACCTATAATGTTGAGAACTGTTTATTGCTGTACTCAAATGTGAAATGTGTACCAAAAGCTAGAGAGCAAGAGACAGATCATCTGAATGTTATCAACCACTAATTTGGCAGCCTGCTCTTATCGACTTGCATTGAGTTTCTCTTAAGTAATTGTTCAAAAGATTTTGCAATGGGGTCTCATTATGTGGGCCCAGGGGTTGACTTTGACCCAGAGTGCTTCATCTTCCCAAGAGCTGGGACTGCAGGCATATGCTCCACGTGCTTTATACAGCTTAAATTTTCTTTACTCTTTTGACTAGAAATAAATTAATATGCTTCAGAAATTTATGTTGTTAAAAACAACTGTCCTCATCCATTTCCTGTCCAGTGATTTCCCTAGCCTGCTTAGCTATGCTGTACTTGACCTCCATAACTGTCAGTGACAACTTTGCTGCAGTTGCAGTAATAAGATGCTCTAATATGAACTCTATATTAAATTTAAATATTAAGGATACTCCTTAATTTTAATACTGTGTAACAGTTCTTCAAATTAGTGTGGCTTTACTTCTTTTTAAAAAAAGAAAATACTCCATGCAGTGGCGTTAATGCCTGCACTCAGGAGACAGAGGCAGAGTGTGTGGTCTCTGTGAATTCATGAGTTTGAGACCAGGCCAGCCTGTTCTACAAAGCAAGTTTCAGGATAGCCAGAGATGCACACAGAGGAATTCTGTCTCAAAAAAAACGAAAAGAAAAACATAGAGAAATAAAATTTCACCTATTCCAACATGTATACAACTTATTGTTTCTTTTATTTATTTATTTATTTTTATTTTATTTATATATTTTTTTTCAAGACAGGGTTTCTCTGTGTAGCCCTGGCTGTCCTGGAACTCACTCTGTAGACCAGGCTAGCCTCGAACTCTCAAACTCAGAGTTCTGCCTGCCTCTGCCTCCCAAGTGCTGGGATTAAAGGTGTGCGCCACCACCACCCAGCCACAACTATCATTTCTATAACTGGTACTTAGTGTTTGTATTTTTTGTTTATTTTAACTTCTTTTGTGTAACTGAATTTACTGTTTTATCCTCATGCAAATTCTATTAAGAAGGTTCATGTTACTGTACTAATTTTTTTAAAGAAGCAAATTGAAGTTTATATTTTGTCAGAATTCAAATGTAAGCTTTGACTATTTAGTATGTGATTTCCACTCTAGCCAAAATCTTAAATTGCTAATCATTTCAAGTGGTTTATATCCATTTTTTGTTTATTTGTTTGTTTTTGTTTTTGAGATGGGGGTCTGTCTCTCTTTGTAGCCCTGGTTTGCTTGGAGTGCACAGAGATCCACCAGCTTCTTTCTTCCTCTTGAGTTCTGGGATTAGAGTTGTATACTGCTATTTATCTATTTTGATACACATGTAGAACAGAGAGACAGAAGGAGGAGTGGGGGGAGGAGAGGGAGAGAGGGAGGGAAGAAGAGGGTGGGGCTAGAGTCCATATTCCTGTATTTGCTGGCCATCATATTTCTTTTATACTTTTTAGCTTTTATACATTCTGCTTCCCCAGCAGAAGGGTGTTCATGTCTAGAGTTCTTAGCACAGTAGAAGTTTAGATGCCATCAGTAAATTAAAGAACATTGTAAATACCTTTTTCTTATTAACATAAAATACCCATTTTCTGCAGTTCTGTTTATTGAGACTAGGCTTCAGGCTGGCCTTGAATTTATGGTCTCAGTTGTACCCAAGACCAAGATTACAAGTGGGTAGTGCCATGCCAAAACTGCTGTTTATTTTAAACTGTTAGACTTAATGCTTATTGCCTTATATTGATTTTTTTTTTTACTAAGTTATATTGTGAGTAGAAAAATACTAATTCATTAGTAAATGAATTGTTACATGGCGTGTGTGTGTGTGTGTCTGTATATGTAGGAATGATCAAATAGTCCTTAGATGTCCATCCTCTGGTGCTGTCCATCTTGTTCAGAGAAGGCCTCTCATAGGTCTGGAATTCACCAAGTAGGCTAGGTTAGCTAGCTTGTGAACCCCAAGAATCTGTCTGTCTCTGCCTCCCCAGTGCTGATGTTATAAGCACGTGTATGGTTACATGGTACCTTTTAAAAATGTATATATGCGTGGGTTAGGTTGCCTGAAGTGATAGCTCAGTGGTTTAGAGCACTGTTGCTTTTGTAGAGGACCCAGGATAATTCCCAGTACCCACACAATGGCTTACAAACATCTGGAACTCCACTTCCATGGCATGCCTTGGAATACATATGGCACACATATATGTAGGCAAAACACTCACAATGTATTTAAAGAACTAGGAAAAACCATATATGTGGGTTTTGGTTCATTCATGCTTACTTGTTGAGCCATCTCAGCCTCCTGTGTTTGTGACTGGGGGGTTAGAAAGGTAGACATTGACTGATTGGTTTCTGGCGGGCTTGGGACTGTATAAACCCTGGGCTGGTTTTCAAAAGCAATCCTCTGCTTCAGCCCCTTTAATGGTTGGATTACAGGTGTGGGACATCATTCCTGGTTAGGTTCCTCTTTTAAATGTCATGTAAATTATGCCTTTTAAATATTTGTAATATTTTCTAAGCCATTTTATGCTTCCCTAATTTCTCCAAGGAATGGATATAAGCACAAGGATACCCCCCAGTGCCTCTGTTAACAGGTTGTATTGAATGTGTTTGTCATTCAACTGGATACTCTTTTTTTGGGGGGGGGGGACTCTAAGGTCAGAATCTCATTTTCTACTGCTTTTTCTGCATAGAGGCAGCACATTTCTCTCCAGTGTGCTGATTCTGATATGCTTTTGCTTAGAAAGTAGGTATGCAGGTTTGTGAAAACTTACACACCTAATAAACCCATCTTTGTGAGGAACCTTGGGTATATGTAGCTGTAGTACAGAGGCCACTGGCTGTCTGTTTGAATACACAGTGGTCTTTGCTTATTGAGTTCATAGACCAGAGCATTATTTAATATTTGAATAAATATGAGGTGTTTAATAACTACATTTTAAGAATATCTGGCTGGGCGTTGGTGGCGCACGCCTTTAATCCCAGCACTTGGGAGGCAGAGGCAGGCGGATTTCTGAGTTCGAGGCCAGCCTGGTCTACAGAGTGAGTTCCAGGACAGCCAGGGCTACACAGAGAAACCCTGTCTCGGAAAAAAAAAAAAAAGAATATCTGATATTTTCCTTTGTTATTGCTCTTATTTATTCTAGTATTGAGTTAGATTTAGATGTTAACCACTTAAGGAGAAACTTTGGAATAACCCAGGTATAGCAATTTTGTATAATAACTTTAATGAAATTTTTGTTTTGAACTTGACTTCTCTTTTTCTTTTGTTTTCTTTTTTTCCTCCTGATGATTAGGGAGTAACTATTCCCAGTCAGAGGCGCTATGTATATTATTATAGCTACCTGTTAAAGAATCACCTGGATTACAGACCAGTGGCACTGTTGTTTCACAAGATGATGTTTGAAACTATTCCAATGTTCAGTGGCGGAACTTGCAGTAAGTGCTCTAAATTCTCATCTTTCTATGTGTTGGAAAACTTTTTTTAACCATATCTAAATGTATATGTAAAAGTTAAGAAATAAATATACCAGGTTAAAACTTATAGGAGTGTATTTCTGAAGTTGGAATTAATTAGTTCAGTTGTTCAGCTCTTTGGGTTAAGAAAGCTAACTCAATGAATTTTGGTATTCTTGAAGTCAATTATATTTATGGGAGAAATACTCCATGTTACAACCACCAGATACAGTCTCTGTTCTGACAAAATAACTGAAAGACTCTCTGACTGGCCAGTGTGAGAATGGCCTCCGGCCACAACAAGGTCCTTCATCTGAGGGAGACAAATGTTCACTGTCATGGGAACAGAAAGAGGCCGCAGAGGCAGCCTTCAAATATAGACTAGAAGGGCGTGTGAATCAGGATATGTGGAGAAAGACTGGGCGTAGCTCTCAACTCCAGCCCTCAGCCTGTGACTTGGCCTGTCATCTCCTCGATGAGTTTGCTTGTCAGTAAGATAAAGAAATCTTGATAGATACGAAGTCATGACACCGGTGTCTACTTGTAATGGCCTACCTCCCAGCAAGGTGATTTTGTTGTCACTTTGATCTTGTTTCCTTTCCTTCTATTCTTGGCTAGAGTTCTTAGGTACAGAACTCTAGGAATAAGAAGCCCAATATCTGGACACAAAGCAGCTACCTAATGAAGGGAGAATGAATATGTATGGAAAACACATGGAGGAATTTTATGCAGCCCTGTAAGGCCAGGCTGCTGTAATGTCTTTTTTCTGTGACGGTTTTTTATACTGAACGTCTAAGTGCCACCTGGGAGTGCTCAGTCATGTGCACTTAAGATATTTTATTTGTATTTTCAACATAATGTCCTAGTACCAGATAGATATCACTTATTAGAATCCCTTCATATTATATTTTACAGATGTTTGCAATTTGTCAGTGATTTTAGTTTTTCGTCTCCATGAAATACTTTGGTAAATTAACTTGTTCTCTCTAAAATAAGTTATATATAGAAAATCAATTTCTTGAAGTCATCTATTCTCATCAGATACATGTGATTGATTGCCTATGAGTATGGCAGCTTTGCTAAAGGCCCCTGATTTATTTATATAGCTTGTTGGAAAGTTCTAAGGAACTTTCATACTGATTAATTATATTAGTATAATTTTTATAATGTGAATACAAGGCACAATAGACTATGGAAAGCAATTGGCTTAGGAACTTTACTAGGTTCATTGAGAAGGAAAAAGGATGAGAACTCAAGTTCTTCCTACAGTTCAGATATCGATATAAGAGCCAGACTAAGGCAGTATATACAGAGGTAATAAGGAAAGACTCTGCTCTGGAATCTCACTAGGAACTCCCTTTTTCTCAGTTGTACTTGTCTTATTAAACTGTTTTGTTTGGCTTTTAGTCACACAACATTGTGTTTATATCTCTAGACTTAAAAATATTGATTACTAAATCTCTTTAATCTTTTAAATGTTGTAATTACTTATGTGCTAGGATTTAATACTATATATTGAAGTCATATTAAAATATAGCTCATGGGATTCATATACATTAACTATAACTGCCATGTTCACAAAAAGGATTTGGAAACTTAATTTCATGAAGAGAGTCTGTTGCTGGAGAACACATGCAGTTTGAATTGGCATTAAGTGTGAAGGAAATATTACAGGCAGTAGGAATAAAGTGACCCAAGCACAACAGAAGAGCTGGATAAGAAATAGAAGATGTGATTGGCTGTCACAGGATCTTGAATGGGATTTAATAGACTTGGAATAATTTTTGAGATTTGGAGACATGGTATTATCACTTTGCTTTAAAGTTGTTTAAATCTAATGAAAACAAGGTGCTTCTGGAGCTGTACAGTGGGGCGGCAGCCCTGTCTCAGTGGCATAGTGCTTGACTGGAGCTAGATGCAGGCTGGCCTTCAGTCTCTAGTCAAGATACCCAGGAGTTACACACTTGGTGACCACAACTGTAGGCACAAGTCTAGGTGAGAGGTTGTGTCTGTCTTGGGGAAGCATAATAGTATCAGGAACAAGATAGTCATTTAACCTTTAGTATGTTGTTGTGGTAGGAAAGGGTGAAGACGGAGGAAGAGGACAGGCAAGTTGGGTTGAGGAGGAGGAAGAGGAGGAGGCATGAATGAAACAGACAGAACTAGTGATGAAAGGTATAGTGTCTTCTGCAGAGGACCAGGAGCTGTCTTCTTGATTATTATCTTACTTTTTCTAAGTGAAGAGAAATTGCTGTATAATAAAAACGATCAGTTTGCTTCTCTGTCAGGATGCGCTCTCATTCTTTATTGTCAAGTCCAGATCCTGTCATTTCTTCAGAACATAGTTAACATAGCAGAGGCTGTTTCAGATGCTTGTGCGTCTCGGAAGTCAAGAGGACTATAGTAATATTAGAATTTTGATGTTAGGACTTCCATCCCAATGGGAAACTCATGGTATACAGATGGTTGTTTTTCTCAGTGGCCTTAGGAAAAGCTGCTGTTTATTCATGATTGTACACTACAGCTGAGGACATTGTCAGGGAAAGATGCCATGACCAGACAACTCTTAAAAAAGAAAGCATTTAATTGGTACGTGCTTACACTTTCAGAGGATTAGTCCATTATCAGCCTGTCAGGAAGCATGGTGACACACAGGGAGAAATGATACTGAGAGTTTTACATTCAGATCTGCTGGCAGCAAGAAGAACAGAGATACTGGGCCTGGTTTGACCTTCTGAAGCCCAAAGCCTACCTCTAGAGACTTAATTCCTCTTTAAAAAAAAGTCATACCTGTTGCAGCAAGGCCAGACCTCCTAATCCCTCTCAAGTCGTGCTACTCCCTGATGACCCAAGTATTCAAATATATGGGTCTTATAGTGGCCACTCTCATTCAAACTACCACAAGTTAAAATCGTTCAACAGCCCCTCCGACCCCCCCCCCTTTCTGAGTGGAGCCCAGGATCTTGAGCACAAGGCAAGTACTCCACTACCAAGCCTGTGCCCCAATCTGTCATAATCTGCATCACTCTCAGTACCACTGTCCTCTAGGCTGCTATTAGTATGGCCCTGTATAAAGTGTTCAACTGCTTTCCTAATCCAAAGTCCCACAGTCCACATTCAGCCAACAAGCAGCATGGCCAGGCTAATTATTTTAGCTTGTTTTTAGAGGATGTTCTAAGTCCTATGGATTTGTAATTCACATGTCAGTTGTTTGACAGTTGTTCAAGCCTTAGAGATGTACACCTTAGATGTTGTTTAGTTGAAATCCAAATTATATAGTCAGTTTCCTTTTTTAAATCCTAAAATCAGTAGTACCAAATTCTGAGCTAGTAGAATAATTCACTAGTAAAATTATCAGGCTTTTTATCCTGATAGTTTTGTGTTTTGTTTTTTTTAATCCTGATAGTTTTTACCAGAGCTTTGAAACCACACTCTGTTCACTTGTCTCATGTGACGTCTCACTTATGTATAAATCCTAATGAAGTCTCTCATTCCACTTTGAAATTGTAGTCAAAGAAGGGAAATGTATTGACAGATTGCTGGTGGAATGTTTCTCCTTTTGGGGATGGGTTTCATGATAAATGTCTTATTAATCCATGTCAGAGTAACCCCACTAACCCCATATGCTTTTATTGAGGACCCTGTTTTCCACGAGATGTCGCAGTATTGCCTTTATATACTAAATACATAAACCATTATGTTTTTATTATCTGACATTTTACTTAGATTGGCTTGCTTTGCACATTGTTCCCAGTCATGGGTTACATTGATTACAATCTGCTTTTCATCTTCAAAGAAATAATACACACACACCCTCTACTTTTAACATACTGGTCTACTGTTTTTTCTAGCTATAAGTGAATTTGAGTACATTTTAGAAATAAAACATCTTTTCATTTTCACATCTTTAACCATCTTTTGGTTGACTTGCCAATCAAAATCATGATGATATTTGTGAAATTGTACTTACGCAATAATTTTAAAATGGACCTAGATTAGAACTAAATAGTTGTTGATGAAAGCGGTGTTTAGAGAGAAGAAAAAATTTCTCTGTTGTAGTTTTCCCTTGGAGCCTACTGCATTTCCTGCTGACATCTAGAGTATTTTGTTCTCTGTTTCTCATGATTGTGACTTTGTGATTGTGGGCTCCTACACCCATGTGCATATGGGCAGCACACATTGGACTCTGAGTTTCTCAAAAAAGAAACCACAGAGGACATGAAATTGGGGAGGCAACTGAGGTGTGCATCCAGGAAGAGTTAGAGGGAGAAGTAGGAAGTGAGTTGGATCAAGATACAGTGAATGCTTATCTGAGATTCTCAAGGAATTAATAAAAAATAATATGTTAAAACATATAGGGCTGGGGTCAGGTGGTGGTATGTGCTTTTAAAAGTGCCAGTACTTGGGAGGCAGAGGCAGGGAGATCTCTGAGTTGGAGACCAACCTGGCCTAGTTCCAGGACAGCCAGGGCTAAAACACAGAAATTGTCTTAAAAAGCCAAAACCAAACCAACAAACCAACCAAACAAACAAAACCTGTGGACTGGAGGTCAAAAGAAAGATGATCAGTGTTTTATAGTTCTATATTATAGAGGCTTAGGCTTAAGAGGTTATTAAAATAGTCTCGTAGGTTGCCTTTATCCAGTCTACAAAAGACCCAGGAAATTGTTTATGTTATTTTATGCTTAAAGTAGTTTATGATGAGTCTTTTACATAATGTTAATGTAAAGCCTTGATATTAATATGTTGCTAGAGTCTAGTCTTAAAACTTACTGTTTATGAAGTAGCACACCATTTTCATATCTGTAATAGAACTTAAGGGTTCAAATTGAAGAAGTCCTTACTTGGATTACTTATGGTTTTACATATTTTATTTCTACTGATTTGTTTTAGATAAGCAGTCAATATGAAGAATTATCATTTTTGTATGTTTCTGTTTATTTTATCATTAAAATAGTTTCTGATAATTTCAATTTTGAAGACATTTCTTGTGAAATGACCCTCTATGTATTCAACCATGCAGATCCTCAGTTTGTGGTCTGCCAGCTAAAGGTGAAGATCTATTCCTCCAATTCAGGACCCACGCGCCGGGAGGACAAGTTCATGTACTTTGAGTTCCCTCAGCCATTGCCTGTGTGTGGTGACATCAAAGTAGAGTTCTTCCACAAACAGAACAAGATGCTCAAAAAGGTTTGCACTTCAGTTCTATTGTATAGAAATAGCCATTCTTTTTTTTTTTTTTTTTTTTAAATGTTTATTTATTGTATTGATGAGTACACTGTAGCTGTCTTCAGACACACCAGAAGAGGGCATCCAATCTCATTACGGATGGTTGTGAGCCACCATGTGGTTGCTGGGATTTGAACTCAGGACCTCTGGAAGAGCAGTCAGTGCTCTTAACCGCTGAGCCATCTCTCCAGCCCCGAAATAGCCATTCTTTAATGAGTAACCACAGACCTTTTGCTTAAAGCCTTTGGTTAGGAAATTATTCTGTAAGGAGAGACTATTTCTCTGCCATCTACTGCGCTGATTACTGTTTTGTTAGATTGGCAGACTCTTTACTTCCGTGGCATTGGTGAGCCGCCTACCCCAACTCTTCGCTTGTTGGTTTGTTCTGTGATCTTATGCAGCACAAGCCATGTTTTACCCATTTGTGTTTGGGTTTCTTGAGACTAGACTATTTTCTATTTTGTTTCCCAAGATTTACTGAGTTTTTGGTCACTATTACACTTAGTTGAAAGAAATGGCTACGAAGAAGTAATTAAGGGGGGGGGGCTGATAGCCGTTCAGGGTTGCTGAGGCTTGAGATACACAGGAGAAGGTGAGAGCTCAGCTGTACTGTGCTTGGCGTGAACCTTTATCCTTGGTGTAGTATCCTTAGTTGAATGTGAACGTTAAAATGAGTCTTAAGGTATAGAAGCTTTAGCTCGTAACAGAGGAAGACACTAGTTTTGTGGAGAATCAGTTCCTATGAAGCACACAGGATAGTACATGGCCAGGAAGAGAATTTCATTTTCTCAGTCTTCAGGTTTTTTATAAAAGCAATAAAAGGAGATCTCGCTTAATATAAAACTTTTCAGTGTCAGGAGGTCGATTTATCAGGAGAGATAATTTTTTTTCTAGGATCTACATAGTTAAAGAAGAAAAATCACAAAATTAATCAAATTAATGTTTTTATCATGGACTAATTTTCTACCTCTCATGAAGAAAAAAAGCTAAATATAAATATCTTTGAGTTACTGGGGTTTTTGTATATTTGTCTGAGACTACAATAAATGTGAGCAAATATTTAAAAAATTAAGTATTTAGAAGGCTTTTGGTTTTTATCCTCCTACTTCATTTGTTTGTTTGTATGTTTGAGACATGGTCTCTCTGTGCAGCTCTAGATGTCTTGAACTTGCTTTGTAGACAAGGCTAGCTAGTCTCAAACGCAGAGATCTCTTGCCTCTGCATCCTAAGTGCTGGAATTAAAGGCCTGTGCCGTCACTGCCCAATATCTCCTACGTCTTGTAAGACTGGTTCATGTAAAAGTGCGTGCGTGCGTGCTTACGTGCATGCATGTGCGTGCACATGCACATTTTTTTCTTCCCTTGTTTTTCTTTGTTAGTGTTTGTTTGGAGACAGATTCTTATGTTATAGCTCAAGTTGATCTAGAACTCACTAAGTAGCCCAGGTTGGCCTCAGATAAAGCAGTCTTTTTGCCTTAACTTTCCAAGTGCTATGAACATAGGCATGAGCCACCTCTCTTGGCTTTATATTGTTTGTAATAATAGAAAATTACCTCACCATCTCCTTGTAGTTTTAGAGATATGCTGTTTCTTACTCCTGGTCTCTGTTGATTAGATATTTATAATATATTTGTATATCTTAGATTACTTTCCATAAATTTCCATTTGTAGTAGCTTTTCTTTACTAATTACATGCCTGTTCTGATTTAAATAAAAACAGTTTTAGAAAATCAGTGCACATCAATGAGCTACGTTTTGCAAGTTTAAATAATACTACCTTGTTTTCTTCTAAGTAAAATATAATTGCCAACTGAACAACTTTGTTAAAATAATTGAGATCAATAAGGTTTTAAAAAGGCTGGAAACATGGCTCAGCAGTTAGGAGCCCTGGGTGTTCTGGAGGACCTGGGTTTGATTCTCAGCACCCAGACGTTGTCTTACAGTCATCTGTAACACCAGTCCTTGGGGGATCTGAATCCCTCTTTTGGCCTCCATAGACACTGGACATATACATGGTGCACATACATATATCCAGGCAAAAATATATTTGTCATAGGGTACTTACTCTAAAGTTTTTAGTGCTTTTGTTGAAGTAGTAGCACCTGATCTTTGCTTATATCTACATACACAGAAACTCAGGACATTTTTAAAATCCAGTATTCTTATTCTAATAAGAAGTAGTTTTCTTAGGATTTTAAGTAAGATACCAGATTTTACATGGTTATATTTTTTATTTAAAATTTTAGAAAAGATAACTTAGTGAATAAGAATATTCCACAAGACGTTTGCCTTTACTTTAGAATATCAGATCATATCTGGTTTATATGTTGAATGTTTGTGGTACATTTTTAAATAAGTGAAATACATTTTTCATTTCTTTCTTTTTAGGACAAAATGTTTCACTTTTGGGTAAATACGTTCTTCATACCAGGACCAGAGGAAACCTCAGAAAAAGTGGAAAATGGAAGTCTTTGTGATCAGGAAATCGATAGCATTTGCAGTATAGAGCGTGCAGATAATGACAAGGAGTATCTTGTACTCACCCTAACAAAAAACGATCTTGACAAAGCAAACAAAGACAAGGCCAACCGATACTTCTCTCCAAATTTTAAGGTCAGTTAAAACCATTTTGGGGTGGGAGGGAGGGTGTGTTTTATTCTGATTGTGAAACTGAAGAACTAGACGTTGTTTAATTGTTAATTTTCTTGTTGAATGTGCAGCATTGCCGAGTGGCCGCACAGCCTTTCCTTTCTGTTTATTCCTCCACTCACTCTCATTATTTCTCCTCCTCCCTCCCCATTTTGAGTCTTCCCTTTTTCCTTTTTAAATTGTTTTTTCATTCCTTTGTATCTGTTTCGTTCACATGTAACAAATTTAACCACAGATTATTATGTTATTATCATATATTATTATAAGATAATGATACTGCTAATACTTATTAAAATAGAGACAAAACAATCAATAAAAAATAAAGTATAAAAAAGTTCTTGTAGATAAAAGCTGTTTTCATTGTCACTGAACAAATATATCAAAGTAAGTACTATGAAGCATGCAACTGGCAAAGATGGTCTGGTCAAGTGGATGGTGTGTGTAAAGAGGGTTGTCTGAGTGAAATGAGCAGATTTACATATGTAAATTGTACACGGCCTACAGAACAGCTATTTGGGAAAAGGAGGAAGAGTAGATACGAGAATTCTGAGGCATGAATGAGCTTGGTATATTTCAGTGGCTGAAGTCATTTCCACTGAGTCACAGGAACCCAGTCTTGATGTGACAGTGTGGAGTGCTAAGCACAGAGAAGATGTAATCTGAGCTCGTCTGTAACCATCCAGTTCACTTCTTAATTGAGACTGGTTCAGGTTCTAGGGAGAGGCGATGGGGTTGAAGTGGCAGTGAGAGGAAGTGTGAGCCTGATGGTCAGCGTACGTAAGAGGTGGTGGTTGAGTGGTCTTAAGTAGTGGAGGGAGCAGTAGTAAAATTACTAACATACTTTGAAGGGGGATTCTTAAAGCAAATGTTGGTTATAAGACAAACTTAAAATGATTTGAATAATGGGAAAGAAAGTATAGATCTCTTATCAGCTGTTCACCAGAGATTGTCCTTTAGCATGTTGCCTGGACTTGCTGGGTTTTTGTTTCTTTTCTTTTAAAGTGGAAATACTTAAGAACTGCAGCCATGCATGTAAAAGCCACTGATCCATCTTTGGACCACTGAGTGGTCTGTTAACTTCCTCCATTCTCTCGTTAGATGAAGATTTTAGAACTAGTTGATCTTACTAATCAGTATTGTGCAGTATCACTAATGTAAACATAGAGTTGTCTCTGAGATTGTAAGAAATGTTTTTGAAACATAAGCACTTGTAAATTGAATTTTGTGATTTCATTGCCTTTAGTTTGCACTTTTATAGAATTATACAGTGCTTATGGCTAGTATATTTTAAAAATAGCTCTCAACTCATCAGTGTGTCTTTTGAGTGCACAGTAGGCAGTCTTAAGGTCATCTGAAAAGCAGTGCCCTTCAGAATTCATTTTGTTATAGTATTTTTAATTAAATCTGCAAAACAGAATGTCTTTGCTAATGTAGAACTCATTCTAATTGTTCATTTCCATCTTAAACTTTCTTTCTCTAGGTGAAATTATACTTTACAAAAACAGTAGAGGAGCCATCAAATCCAGAGGCTAGCAGTTCAACTTCTGTGACGCCAGATGTTAGTGACAATGAACCTGATCATTATAGATATTCTGATACCACTGACTCTGATCCAGAGAATGAACCTTTTGATGAAGATCAGCATTCACAAATTACAAAAGTCTGATTTTTTTTCTTATCAAGAGGGATAAAATACCATGAAAAAAAAAAACTTGAATAAACTGAAACGGACCTTTTTTTTTTTTTTTTAAAGGCAATAGGACATTGTGTCAGATTGCAGTTATAGGAACAATTCTCTTCTCCTGACCAATCCTGTTTCACCCTATACATCCACAGGGTTTTGACACTTGTTGTCCAGTTAAAAAGGTTGTGTAGCTGTGTCATGTATATACCTTTTTGTGTCAAAAGGACATTTAAAATTCAATTAGGATAAATAAAAGATGGCACTTTCCCGTTTTATTCCAGTTTTATGAAAAGTGGAGACAGGCTGATGTGCATACATAGGAGTTTTTCCTTTATTTTTCTGTCACCAGCTGAAGTGGCTGAAGAGCTCTGGTTCCTGGGTTCACGTCCTACCCCTTTGCACTTGTGGCAACAGATAAGTTTGCAGTTGGCTAAGAGAAGTTTCTGCAGGGTTTTGCTACATTCTGATGCATGCACTTGGGTTGGGAGAATGGAGGGAGTGCTCAGAAAGGAATGTTTCTAGCTGGGCTCTGGACCACATTCCATCTCCAGCTCCTTAGATGCACCTTTCTTTAGCATGCTCCACTTACTAATCTGGACATCCGAGAGATTGGGCGCTGTCCTGCTGTTTGTTTGTGCGTTTTAAAGAGCATATTGGTGCTAGAAAAGGCAGCTAGAGTGAGTACATTTGTATTGGGGTACAGGAATGAACCATCTACAGCATCCTAAGAATCCACAAATGAAGGGATATAAAAATAAGGTGGTCATAGATAAGAGACACAGCAACAATGACTTAACCATACAAATGTGGAGGCTTTCAACAAAGAATGGGCTGGAAACAGAAAATTTGACAATGATTTATTCAGTATACTTTCTCAGTTGTAATGACTGCTCCATCTCCTATGTAATCAAGGCCAGTGCTAAGAGTCAGATGCTATTAGTCCCTACATCAGTCAACAACTTACATTTATTTTTATTAATTTTCAATCATATACCTACTGTGGATGCTTCATGTGCTGGCTGCCAGTTTCTTTTTCTCATTAAATATTTTGTAATTCTTCACAGGAAATTTCAACTTGAGATTCAACAGTAAGCAGGTTTTTTTCCTAGAGATTGATGATGCGCGTCCTCAGTCCAGTGGCTGTCAGATGTCCTGCCCTTTTGACCTTACACATTCTATTACAATGAGTTTTGCAGTTTTGCACATTTTTTAAATGTCATTAACTGTTAGGGAATTTTACTTGAATACTGAATACATATAATGTGTATATTAAAAAAAGTCATTGTTTGTGTTAAAAAAGAAATTAGAGTTGCAGTAAATTTTCAGCACTGCACGAATAATAAGGCATTTAAGTTTTTCAGTAGAAATTGTCCTACAGATGCTTTATTGACTTGCTATTGGAAGAATAGACCTTCTTAAATGTGCAGTGTTGAGTCACTTCGTTATAGTGGTAGAGTTGGGATTAGGGCTTCAATTTCACTTCTTAAATATCATTATATGTTTGCTATGCCCAGACTGCATACAGTTTAAAGCAAGAGTATAACTGCTATTGTAATGGTGATGTGAAGATACTATTAAAAAGGATGTTTCCCCCTTGGGAATTTGGTGTCTTTCAAATTATATCTTGACCTTGACATTTGAATATCCAGCCATTATATTTCTTAATGGTGTGAAGTCCCATTTTCAATAACTTATTGGTGCTGAAATTGTTCACTAGCTGTGGTCTGACCTAGTTAATTTACAAGTACAGATTGCATAGGACCCACTAGAGAAGCATTTATAGTTCGATGGTAAGTAGATTAGGCAGAACGTCATCTAAAATATCCTTAGAAAATAATGTTGATGTATTTTCCATACCTCATCAGTTTCACTCAACCAATAAAGTTTTTAAAAGTGTAACAAAGTTCTTAGGATTTACACATTTATATTTAAACATTGATACATGAATATTGACTGACTGTTGATACAGTGATAAAGTTAGAGACAACTTTTCCTAAGATCTCACCATTGAAATCTGTATACCCCCCTTGTCTTTCCTCAAAGCTGAAAGTGGCTGAATAAATAGCAAAGCAGCTGTTGATGTTTTGGAGATAGTGATGAACACTGTTCTTTGTTAGTTTTGGGCACAGCATGCTAAACTATAACTTGTATTGTTCCAATATGTAACACAGAGGGCCAGGTCATGAATAATGACATTACAATGGGCTGTTGCACTGTTAATATTTTTCCTTTGGAATGTGAAGGTCTGAATGAGGGTTTTGATTTTGAATGTTTCAGTGTTTTTGAGAAGCCTTGCTTACATTTTATGGTGTAGTCATTGGAAATGGAAAAATGGCATTATATATATATTATATATATAAATATATATATTATACATACTCTCCTTACTTTATTTCAGTTACCATCCCCATAGAATTTGACAAGAATTGCTATGACTGAAAGGGTTTTGAGTCCTAATTAAAACTTTATTTATGACAGTATTCACGATTAGCCTGAAATGCATTCTGTAGGTAATCTCTCCCGTGTTTCTGGAATGCTTTCCTAGACTTTTTGGATGTGCAGCAGCTTACGTGTCTGAAATGACTTGAAGGCATCACCTTTAAGAAGGCTTACAGTGGGGCCCCGTACATCCCAAGTCCTCTGTAATTCCTCTTGGACATTTTTGCCATAATTGTAAAAGGGTAGTTGAATTAAATAGCATCACCATTCTTTGCTGTGGCACAGGTTATAAACTTAAGTGGAGTTTACCGGCAGCATCAAATGTTTCAGCTTTAAAAATAAAAGTAGGTTACAAGTTACATGTTTAGTTTTAGAAAATTTGTGCAATATGTTCATAACGATGGCTGTGGTTGCCACAAAGTGCCTCGTTTACCTTTAAATACTGTTAATGTGTCATGCATGCAGATGGAAGGGGTGGATCTGTGCACTAAACGGGGGCTTTTACTCTAGTATTTGGCAGAGTTGCCTTCTACCTGCCAGTTCAAAAGTTCGATCTGTTTTCATATAGAATATATATACTAAAAAATACCAGTCTGTAAAACAGCCTTACCCTGATTCAGCCTCTTCAGATACTCTTGTGCTGTGCAGCAGTGGCTCTGTGTGTAAATGCTATGCACTGAGGATACACAAATATGACGTGTACAGGATAATGCCTCATACCAATCAGATGTCCATTTGTTACTGTGTTTGTTAACAACCCTTTATCTCTTAGTGTTATAAACTCCACTTAAAACTGATTAAAGTCTCATTCTTGTCATTGTGTGGGTGTTTTATTAAATGAGAGTATTTATAATTCAAATTACTTAAATCCATTAAAATGTTCAATAATGGGCAGCCAAATATGATTACAAAGTTTCTGTATGTTTTTCTATTTTTCCCCCCTCGTTGCTATCCTTCCAAGCAGAGGATCTTTCTGTCATCTTGGTAGACACATACCTGTCTACTCATGGTTAAGAAGAGCATTTTAAGCCTTAGTCATCACTTAATAAGTTATTCCAGGCACAGTAAAAAAGTTCAAGGTTCTGGGAAAACGGTGCTTATTTATTTCTCTTTTATAAAGCCAGATGTCTGAGGATAGCCCCCACCCCCCACCCTGAGAACGGGCTTGACAAGACTCAGGTCAGTTCTGTGGCTTTCTGTTCTTTAACTCTGCAGTTGGCCATCAGCACAGGGGAGGTTTCATCTCCTTTCTAAAATTCTAACAGTCTAAGGAGTAAGGCATATCCTTTGAATAAAACAGTGAAATAGCTTGTGATGTTTTAGAAGTGAGCAGATCATTAATGTCAATGTGGAATCTTAATGTTATGTAAAGTTGATAGTTTCTCTATGACCCATTTAAAAATATAAACTGAGTAGCAATGGAATTGTGTAAAGAAATATGAAGATTGTATGTAGTCACACATTTTCTTTAGAATTCTTAGTTTGATGGGTGAAAACTTGAATATAAAGGTATTTTGATTTATATGATATTTTGATGATATTTGACAAAAGGAATTTCCTGGCATTTTGCTTTTAGATCATGTCCCCATTGTACTGTAATGTAAGCTGACTTGCCTCAGTGAATGCCATCACCATTTCCATTGAGAATTTAAAACTCACCAGTGTTTAACATGCAGGCTTCTGAAGGGCTCCCAGAGAATCAGACCTGTAAGCCCAGTTGATTTTACTTCTAACATGAAACTTGGAGTTCCTTTATACTTTGTTAGATAATTTGTGGTACATCTAAAGCAGAGTCTCAAGTGGCTTGTGTGTCGATTTTTATTTAACATTGTTGTTGCTAGGGCCGAGAGAAATGTTGCTAAGTAGAAATAAGAGTACGCAGTCCCTAAAATCTGGACACAGAGTAAAGGAACACTTTAGGAGTCAAGAGGCTGATGTTCCTATGGACTTACATTGCAACAGGAAGCCTACTAGCATAGTTCCTTTTACTGCTAGAATACATTTTTATGGCTGTGCTATAGCTGCTTTTCCATCTTTCAACAACAGGTATCAGGATGTAAGCGGGTAGCTTTAAACAGTGTGACGATGACAGGATAATGTCATCAATAGCAGTCCTCTGGCTCTTAATGTAGTTGTTCTGTGGACAGTGTCTGACTGAAACATCACAATTCTCATGTCCTTGGAGACATACCCCTTATTAATATATTTTAGTGACTAAGCAATCATTTTTCTGTTTACTCATGTGCATTTTCTCTTTAAAACTAAAATCTGTACTGTGTATGTCTCCAAAGCCTTTTAGCTTAGTTTTTAGGAAATGAAAACTGACTGGATTACTTTTTAGTATAGCAGGTATGGGATATGTGCATTATAGAGAGACCTTGCCAGTTCTCTGGGCCTATTTGAATGTTTATTGCTGGTGTGAGGATGATGGGTGAATCAGTAAATACAAGTTACCTTGGTTTAGCAGAGAGAGTTCAATGTGGGTATTTTTCTCTGAAGCATGGTGCGTGGAGCACTGTGAGCAGTGAACTTGGTTACCCTTCGATTCCTCTTGCATTTTGCAAACTGTTGCACAACAAATGCATACCTACCTTGCCCCCTAAGTAAAAGCAAGAACTACTACTGATTTCTCACTCGGCTGTCTTTTTAATGTGTGCTTCTGTGCCATGTACCACACAAGAATCTTAAAGATCTCACAAATTGTTACCTTTTAGCTCTGAATGTTTAGTAGTCTGGTGGGCTTACAACAAAACAGACTCCTGACAGTCATTTGAGAATTTTCATGAAACATTTAGCTTGAAAACATTTTATAATTTCTAAAAAAGAGTGTGTTACCTTAAGAAACTTTTACGTATGTGGGAGACATTAACTGCCATATTTGAGCATACTGAATTTCAAATTTAAAATAAAGCTGCATATTTTTAAATGAAATGTTTAACAAGGATTCATACGTTTTGTTTTTTAAGATTAAAAATAATTTATGTCTTATGTGGAATCTCATCTGTCACAATGGTTAGATTATGCAGAATGGAGCAAGACTTGCGGTTCAGCTTACAGTAAAATTCTTAATGTTTAGATGTGTTTACTTACTGGCTGTCATGTATACTTTTGAGATTTTTCTGCCTGTTCTGTGCAGTTTCCTAAATGATACTCCTGCTTAAAAATAGTATTTTAGTATCTATTTTCTGTCTCCATTAAATGGTTCTCATTTTCTATTGAGTTTGCAAGTGTGCATATTGTGTGTGTATGTGTGTGTATGTGTGTCTATTTGTAGGGTGTGTATGGGAGAATTAGTTTTAAAGTGCTAGAATAGAGATGAAATTTGGTTCAAGTAAAATTTTCCCACTGGGATTTTGCAGTTTATTGTAATAAAATGTTAATTTTGGATGATCTTGAATATTAATGAATTTGTTAGCCTCTTGATGTGTGCATTAATGAGATATATCAAAGTTGTACATTAAACCAAAGTTGGAGTTGTGGAAGTGTTTTTATGAAGTTCCGTTTGGCTACCAATGGACATAAGACTAGAAATACCTTCCTGTGGAGAATATTTTTTCTTTAAACAATTAAAAAGGTTCATTATTTTTGATGATTTGTTTCTTAGCTTCTTATTCATCCAACGAGTATCAATCCCTGCTATGTGTAACAGGTATTTGGAATCTATTAAGTAGTGAAAGAGGCACATCCTGTTCTTACTGGTGAAAAGTTTACACTTCATTAGAATAAACTATGTAAAAGCTGTGGGGTGTGCTGGGAAGTGTAAGACATCATGGTACATTATACAGAACTCCAAACGGAGGTGGGCTCCCTTGCATGTCCATCCTCAGAGTTTAGATTCTGTTTACTAGAGCATTTGAGTCAAATAGGCATGAAAGTGCAGAGAAACTTCCAAGTAAGTGAGAAATCCTGTACCCTTCTGTCTTTTTCTTTCCCTATTGCAGCGTCCTGAAGTGTGTCCTATTGTGTGCGTCATGGCTGTGCCAGCCCAGTTCTTGAGCTAACACCTGCAGTGGGACTGAGGTTCTTCCTCTATCCCCTTTCAACACAAGCAGGAAACATTATTTTGGGATGGTATTCTAACCAGTATGCTTTGAAAAACTTAACTTTCTTGAGCAGCAAAGGGAATTAATAACAAAACCCAACATATTTAAACTAGTTTGTCCAATTAACAGGATGCAAGGTGTCCAAATGTTTTTGGTGAGCAGTTATGGCGGTATGTCAGGCATTGTGGATGCTCGGCGTGCACTTGGGTGAACAGCAGTTTCCTGTCTGCGAAGTTTGCATTCTAGCAAGAAAAATAGAACAGAGATGCATGTGTCAGCTCAAGCGGAGTGACTGCAGTGTTGGATAGAGTATTTGGGAGTGGCTTCATCAGATGTGTGGGATTTCAGTAAACTTGGTGCAATTGGCACCCAGAAACCTCCACAAAACTTAGATTTTGAGTTTGAAAATTTTTAGTTGTCTAAGGAGTATCCATAGTAACCCTATTTTAAGTAGCCACGACCATTTTATTGTCTAAGTTGGTTTGGTAAAACTTAAACAATTGATTCCTCTTTTTTTTTCAGAGTCAACTTTTTAGTGTTCTGTGTGCGTTTCAAAAACACTCAGTCATTTTTCAGAAGTTAAAAGTTCTATTTCGACCTTAAACATTTTTGTAATGTTGAAGAGTCATGCCATTTTTGATTTGTTCATGGAAAATGAGTTATAAATTTTGAGTCAGGATATGGGTGTGATTTATGGCCCGGTGCTATATATATATTAGTTCTTAGCTCATAATCAAACATCTGGAAAAATACTATTATCTAAATATCAGAAGCAGTTTTTCCACATAAAGATAAAATCAGGCCGGGGGGGTGGTGGTGCACGCCTTTAATCCTAGCACTTGGGAGGCAGAGGCAGGCGGATTTCTGAGTTCGAGGCCAGCCTGGACTTCAGAGTGAGTTCCAGGACAGCCAGGGCTACACAGAGAAACCCTGTCTCGAAAAACCAAAGAAAAAAAAAGATAGAATCACCACCTCAAACATTGGAGCCAAAAGTATTTAATAATCTGACTCAGTGGACATTTGAAACTTTTCTATTCATTACATCATTAACATTTTGGTAGTGGCAGAGTCCTTTCCCTCAGATCAGGGCCATAGGCTTGGGTGTGAAGTCTTTTATTTAGTTAGTTCTGTGTATACATGTTCACATGTGTGGGAGCATGTATGACACATGTATGTGCATGTGGGTGGAGGCAGAGCTTAGTGCTGTTTGCCTTCCTCGATGGCTATTGAGCCAAGGTCTTCTCCTAAACCTGGTGCTCAGTGGTTCATCAGTGATCACAAGCGGATGTACTGCCCGGCATGTAGTATGGGGATCCTAACTCCAGCCCTTTGCAGAGCAAGCACTTTGCCCAATGAGACATCTCCCCAGTCCCCAGGGAGGAAATCTTGAAAGAAAATGTTGACTTTTTAAATTCTTGATTTTAAAATAATTTGATAGACATTTTTGTTCAGAAAGGATATAAAACTGCTCAGTGAGTTAGTTATCCAAGTGTAAGAAAAATTATGTAAATTTAGAAAATTATCATAAAACTCTTTTGGTTCTGCCTAAACTTAAAATTCATATGCAACTCCTGAACTTGTACTATTGGATTTCGAGGAGTAATGTGTTTGCAGTTCAGTAATGTGTATGTCAAAGAACTACAGGGGACCAGGAAGTGCTGAGAGTGGGAGAAAGTCTTCCCCTAGGAAAAGCACACTACGTATCCAGTACCAAGTGGTCCACCCTAAAAACACAAGTAACATTGTTATACACATTGAGCAGGTTGTATTTGGGGATATATGATATATGTATGTATATACATATATACATGTAACAATAGTTAAAGACCATGAATCTGAGCAAGGAGAGGTATGTGAAGGGTTTGGAGGGAAGATGCAAAGGGAAAAATTATGTAATTAAATTACATTATAATCTCACAAAATATGAAAACAATTAAAAAATTTAATTTTATTTAATGCTTTCCTAACTATTATTGGTAAGAAACCTTTTTATGTAGCTGCCTTTTTATTTTTTTATTGGATATTTTATTTACAGTTCAGATGGTATCCCTTTACCCCATTCCCCTCATCCCCGCCCAGGAACCCCCTATCATGTGCCCCTACCTACCCTCCCACTCCCACGTCCCCACCCTCGCATTCCCTCACACATGGCGTCCAGCCTTCATGGGACCAAGGATCTCCTCTCCCACCTATGCTCAACAGGACCATCCTCCCTTACATATACAGCTGGGGCCATAGATCCCTCCCTAAGTGCTCCTAGGCTGGTGGTTTTGACCCTGGGAGCTCTGGTTGGTTGGTATTGTTGCTGTCCTCATGGGGCAGCAAATCCCTTCAGCTCCTTCAGTCTTCACTCTAACTCCTCCATTGGGAACCCCTTAAATTCAATGGTTAGCTGTGAGCATCCGCCTCTGAGTATGTCAAACTCTGGCAGACCTCTAAGGACACACAGCTATATCAGGCTCCTGCAGCATGCACTTCCTGACATCCACATCAGCGTCTACCTTTGGTGACTGCTTATGTAGCTACCTTTAACAGTGGAGCCACAAGCTGAGGTTTTTTGGTTGTTTCTGTTTTTTGGTTTTTTTTTTTTTTTGGTTACTTAATTTATTTCGTTTGTGTGTTTTTGCATATGCAGATGTTTGCCATGGCACTCTGTAGGTTAGAGGACAACTTGTCAGGAGTCTGTTCTCTCGTTCCACTATGTAGGTCCCAGGAATCAAACTTAGGTTTTCAGGCTTGGCAAGAGCCTTCACTTCCTGAGCCCATACCATCTGCCCATAACTTGTTAAAGTCATTCTTTAACAAGTACTTCAGTAGGTTTAGCTATTGAAAATCACAGGGCAGTCAGACTTCTTTATGGTAGAAATAATTGGCTGATGGAAAGGTTGTATTTTAAGATTGTAAATGTTCTTGGGGCTTTTTGTTTTTTGTTTGGGAGTTTTGGGGTTGTTTTGAGACAAAGTACTTAGGCTGGCATTATACTCACAATATAGTCCTGGCTGGCCTGCAATACATGATCCTTTGGCCTCAGTCCCCCCGGTACGAATGCTGGAATTACAGATGTGTTGCAGCATTTCTGGTGATAAGTGATAAATATATAAAATGTTTTACTCCTTGGTAAAAATGTAGGTATGAGGTAGAAGCTCTCTGTCAGCTGTCCATAGGGAAGACTTAAAAGACTTTGCTTCAAAAATCTAGTAAGATTAAAAACAACATCAGAATGAAAATGATTTTCTCAAGTATAAAACCTTTGCCAAGAGGCACTTGAAAATCTCAAGCAACTTGATTGAATCTCCAAAAAGTTAAACCTGAAGACTCATTTAGAATTTATAGGATTTCTGTGGTAAGTCAGGTTCTTTACCTGGAAGGCAAAACAGCAGCACGGGGTGGGGTGGGGGGGGTGGGGGGGAATGACTGAAGCTGAAGAAGAGAATGTGAAGCAGGAAAGACATGAGGACACAGACTGCAGCAAAGAGCAGCCAGAGCTGCAGGGGAGTCAAAGCCTGGTGGGTTTGAGTCTGCTGTGTGTGAAAAGCATACTTCATCTTCCTTTAAGGGGAGGTGATCTCATCCCTGAAACCTTAAAAATGTAAAATACCCAAGTTCACAGCCAGGTAGTAAGGATTTGGACTTGAACCCAACAGCCTGGTTTCTGCCGTAGTATGACACTGTCTCTTAGAATCAAATACAAAACCGACGAAAAGTGAGGCTCTGAAGTAACTTGTATCATGGAGTCACTCAATATTCTACATTTGTAAGAAATTAAAAAAAAAAAACAGTGTTAGATCTTGCAAAAATGGACATCAAAGAAACACGTAGGTACTGGGGAGGTGGCTCAGCGGTTCAGAGCACTGACTACTGTTGCAGAAGGCTCAGATTCCGTTCCTAACACTCAAATGGCAGCTTATGGTCAAGTTCCAGGAAATCCAACGCCCTTTTCTGGCCTCCATGAGATTGCATACTCAGTGCTGCACATACAGTGCAGACAAAATACTCATCCACATAAAAACAAATCTTTTTAAAAAGGCATTTAATCATTTAAGCCATAACATTCTTGACAGAGTGCATTGGTAAGGTATGGGCATATGATGGCATACATCAGGAGGCAGAATTTGAACTTTGACTTGCTAATGTGGTGTGAAGTCCGTTCAATAAATGTCATTTATTTTTGTTTGAACTGGGATACCCAGACTGTCTAAAGTGAATGGTCCTCAGCTAACCAGCCATTCAGCAAGTCTGTTATGTGCCTTCAGTTAGAATTACTCTAGAAGCCAGAGAAGCTTGTAGATGATGCAGCAGCAAGGGAGCAGCAAGTCCAACCGTTTGATGTGGAAACAAAGAGAGCCATTTAGGACACCATGAAAGGAAGGCAGAGCAGATTGCAGGATCAATGGTGGAAGTTGAGTTTTGGAGAAATACTCAGAGGAGCTCATGGTCTGATCAAAGCATAAAACCACTGAATCATTCCACACAGATAACAGCTAAAAATCTCTGCACTAAACAAGGGTTTGTCTAGCTCTCCTGGTCCCACACTCCCCTCTCAGGC